TCCTAAATATACTTGACACCAATTTACGTTTTATCAATAAGCATCCTTGTTAAGCTGAAACTATTTACGGATTTAAATCAATACAAGGTGCTTTAGTTAAGAAGATTTTATATCGTAATTCCGCTGTTTTGTTCTAAAATAATTAAAAGGTTGCGTATTAGCTTATCAGCCAAAAATACACGGTGTTCTAAAAGTCATGAATCAATATTTGACCAGGGAACAAGGGAGACAATTTTTAATTTTAAGAAAACCTGTCCGAATTTATGCCATTATCGAGTTATCGCGGTGTTTTAGCAGCTTTACTATGATAATTTTTTTTTAGAATTGGCACATTTTATCGCATATTGATTTGATTGGGATGCGAACAGGATACTTTACGCTAATGACTTAGTAACGTTAATTGCTTAATGAAGTCACTATGCTGTTAATTATGCTGGAAATTCAAAAACTTATAAGTATAAAAGGAATTTTGATTTTCGACAGTGCCTTAAAAGATTTGGTCAAATGAAAACTATATTCCAATTTTCACTTTTGCTTAGGAAAGTTAAAATACTTCTGCTCAACTTTGTTCTTTCTTTGTTCAGTTATGGAGTGGTAACTGTCTACAATCTGTTGATAACCGTATAATACAGCCTGTACAAAAATTTTGTTTAAAGATTATCTACGAAGTCCCAAAAAATATGATAATATGAAATATGTTAATTCGAATTGACTGTTGATGATTGTATAGAGTAATGGTAAAGAAAAAAGAAAACAAAAATTATAATAAGGGTGATAATAAAACAGTGTTTGACGGCACTTTTTTTTAGAAACCGCCCTTCTACTTTCCTTTATGCTCGCTTTAAATGTCTATCAACTTCCTCATTCAGCTTCGTTTGCCTAGAAAATTCCCTACGCACACATCTTTGCCGAAGCTAACGTAATTTAATGCTGTGTGCACCCGCATCAACATTACAAACAGCCTTCCTTACGTTTTCATGTTATCGTTTCATCAGTTTGCAAGGATCTTGGAAAGGACTACTTGAAACGCCTTCGACGAAATCGATTAATCGAAATGTATAACACTCAAATATGGCAAATCCTTTGCAAAGGTTAGAGTGAATCAAGTCGTAGGAAACTTCTAGTACCGAGAGCATTTGGTAATGGACGTGGCCTACGTATATCGACAAATAGGACGATTTGTGTTAAGAAATCGTGTTGTGAAGAAACAACACGCTCCTCTTCTTCATAATATAGTCGCGTTATGGTAAAAGCAAATGGCCCATTTAAATAACGTCTTCCTTTTATCATTTTAGAGTATAAATAGCGGGAACATTACCTTTAAAAATTCAGCGCACCGGGTTGATTCGATATTTTACTCGGGTGTTAAAACAGATTGCAGTCCTTCTCGTTTACTTTATATCCGCGAGACGCTAAAGCCAAAACGTCGCCGCAATTCTTATATAGTTCTATTAGCAGTTGGAAAATGTTTTCGCCGTTTGGCAATTTAGTGAAGACATAAAAAAGGTGTAATACCATTGTAGTGTGAAATTTGATGAATTTACTAATCCTACTAAAATAATTATCAGAGAAATATTACAATGGCAATATCAATTATTATATGCAATATTACAAAACATTCCAATTTATTTATTTAAAGTAGTCTACCTAACAGCCATGAAGCCCAACTAACAGTTAGGTTGTAGTACAAAGAATTAAATAGTTACAGAGGTATTGCAAATAATAATGATATGACGAAACTTAACCCAAAGTCTAGCCTAACATAAACATTAACTCGAATAAAAAAACAGGCAAAAGGAAAAAGATTGAAATTAATAATTATAGCTAATGGGACAATAACGTTTTTATCTTAATAATAGAATAGAAGAAAATAATTAAATAAGGGTAATCATAGCGATCACTAAGAGACACATAATCAAATCTTTTTAATGCGAAAAGTCTTATGAGGGATATGTTCCGTCCAACTTATACCATACTTACTTCAGAAATTTACGCTGATTTTTTTCCAGGCTATTAATATGACAATTGTACCCCGGAGACCAAACTACTGATACACACTCCAACTTAGATCTTAGATTTTTGTCACTTCTGTATTTGTAAAGTCTCGTACGTACTATAAATCCCTAGCTTTTTGAGGCTTCTGCCAGTATCTTATCAATATGAGGAATAAAGGATAATTTCGAGTTGCAGATTACTCCCAAATCACAAAAAGTGTTAGAACGGGAGAGAATTTTAGCAAAAAGAAAATAGTCATATTTCACAGTTGCACTCATGGTGGTAAAAGAGACTACATTGCACTTGGCTGTATCAAGTTGCAAGTTATTATTTAGCGACCAATGGTTAATTTGCTCTAAACTACGCTGAAGACTAAGACAAGCTTCTGAACACCGGATTATTAAAAAAAAATTACGTCGTCCGCATATATCAAAAAACTGACATAAAGGTCCTTAATAATGCCTGTAAGGAAAATGTTGAATAATAATACAATATTGAGCCTTGAGAAAAGCCTGAGGACTATAGATATAAATGTGCTGTTGTACGAGTATGAAGAAATAGTATATTATGCAACAAGTGCTGTAGACGGCATTTGACTCGCGAGTTTATTTGACACGAACGGAGCGCAACGGAGAATGTGTTTAATAAACGAGTGACTTAAAAAGTTTACCGAAAGTATTTTCTACGACCGTTAATTTTTGGGGACATTTTCGCAAAACGACACGAATACAAAATTCAAGGTGTGAGAAATATCTCCGAAAACATCCCATTGGTCCCAAACCCGTGCGGTAAAATCTCGAAACCGTTCCAAGTGGCTCGGATCTGTGGGAAAGAAAACTGACGTAGTAAAGTGACACTTCCGGCATGCTACATCGGTATGTAATTAGGTATTTTACAGACGGGAGTAAAAAATCAAGATATATGACGTCCATTTGAGAACCTGATACTGATACTGATACATAGTCGTTAAATTAGTAATGGTGAATCTTCCTATTTGGTTCTTAACAACATAAAATATTTTGTCCTGTAGGAGAAATTCAAAAACTTTGGGGAAATAGCCCTACAGTTTATGACTTGCGATCTACAGAGAGGGATAAATAGAGTTACTTGCAATCGGTATGGAACACTAACCAAAATTTGTTTAATACTTAACGGACTCCTAATACTGGTGTTATAGAAATCGCTTCCAGTGCATTCAATAAAGTTTAGGGAATTGTCAGTCACAAGCACTGTACTGGTTAATCGGGTTGACCAGTATTCCTTTCCAGTAATAACAAACGAAATTAGAACAAACTTAATTAAAAAAAAATTGTTCCCTTTTAATTTTAAGCGGTGTAAGAGAAAAATGCATTCTTTTGAGCAGCATTTATTCATTAAATTCTGAATAAAGACCGTATAGACATTGTCACTGACAAAAACATATTGCGAGAGGTTATTATTGCCAGTACAGGAAGATCACGTTTTCGAGACCACAATCTCAAGACCATACAGAATTTGAAAAATGCGACTTTGTTATGAATCTAATTTATTAAATGGCCCATTTTTGCAATATGTTCGGCCGCCGTTAATTTTTTTAATTTATTTATACTTTAATTAATATATATATGTTAATTTATATGTACTTTATTTATCCATTTTCTTCCTGATTTTGCACTACCACGCTAATTTATTCGTGCTCAACTGTTTGGTAATTAATCCACAAGAACTTTTGCTTTCATTTCATTTCGACAGGGCCAAAGTCTTTTGATATTTTACCTCTACAGCCCTTTGCACCAATTAAATTAAGTAACGGTCCACTATATAGTACAGATTTTAATTCGAGTATCAAAGTTCAACATGTTGCAACATTCTGCTCATATAAGCCTCCGTGTTATCCCTATCACAAGTAAGACTTTAATTAATCTTAATTTTAAAATTAAGAAAAAAAAAAGGCTAGATGTGACACTTTTTACTCTGGTGTAAGAAAATTCAATACTTATTGAAGCTTCACCTGGGAAGAGCATTGTGCTGACAATTGGTGCATTTTTCCTCCTCCTTATTGTTAAGATCGCTGTCCAAAATATATCCGCCTGCGCCTTTACGGACCCCGCAAAACACATAAAGTAAATCGCTGATGCTTCGTTGCGATGCCTTATTACTATGAACAATATTAATGTGCCTTTCTCTGCGGCTAAGTTGGAGTTATATTTCTTTTAGGAACGTAGAAAGAAAATTATGTTATAGCATTAATTTTTAACAAAACTGAGTGGTTTCGGCTATTTTGGTGTGTTTTGCGTAATGTGGTTTTAATCGTTTTATAATTAAAATTAACATTACATATTATTTGGAAGATTTTATATTGAATGACAATGTCACCTAAATTGGTATGAATGTAATATTTCCAGGAACAAACATCGACAAAAACCCTAGACAGGAAAATAAAACTGTTTTTCTTTGAAAATTTTCAAATATAAGAATTTATTATGTTGTTCTAGATTCAAACGCGGAAGCAACCAACTGTTATTTTATTATATGCTAGGTAATCAAATTTGTTTGAATTTCAAAAGTCTCCGTTACCTTAGAGAAAAGTCGGTCGAATAAATAACAAAGATGAATGCAATCTCGTTTCAATTCAATCTTCGGAGTCGTTTAAATAGTCGCAAATTCCCTCGCTATGAACCGAACGTCTTCTTTAAATTCAATATCTTTTAGTCCCGGCGTCTATTAAAATACTTGATAATAATTTTGCGAAATGGACTTATTAAGTTAACTGAATGAAAAACAGCAAAACCAAACTCATATTTCTATCCTTTTTATGTTTGCCCTAAGCAATTAATTTTATCTGTTCATTACTATACTGTACTACAAATATTATCAGTTTTAAATTAAGACTTTTTTGTTTGTTCGTTGTGTTAACCAAAATCTGCAATTTCGTGTTTGCGTTGTTGGGTAAAATATTAACTCTCGCAAAATCTGTACAAAAATGTAACTTTAAGAAAATGTCACAGTGCCTGCCTTTTTCGCAGGGCCAGAAATATGTGCTGAACAAGATTGTGAACTGCAAAGGACTCGACAACGATGTTATACAATGGACTAACTTAACGTTCGAGCGTGACAGAAATACCAAAGAATACACGTATAGTCTGAGACTAAATATAATAAAAGAAGTTAGCACGAAATTCTCTGTAAGTACCTTTAACTTATACATTTAGCTAAACAAAACACCGATTGCTTCAATTTGATGGATTTAAATGTGTTAAATCAGCACTTTATTTAGTCCTTATCTGCAAATCTGATTGATAATTATTATTGCACCATAATATATAGCTTTATTATATAGGAGTGTTAAATTGAATATTTTCATTTTTTAATGCTGATTTTACATAATTTTGGTAGGCTGATTTCAAAAATTCCATGAATTTATTTGTATCACATAAGGTTCTTAAGCAAATAGTACTGGATAAAACGATATTTAAAATATTTTATTCATTAAAAAAGTGGAATCCTAATTTAAAACTTTACTCAGACTTTTTCGAGTGAAATCGTTGTCTTTTTGCCAGAAAGCTGCGTTATCCGGACCTTCGGCTGCGTGTTTTTAAGGGAATATCCCGTTTTAACCTCCAGCCAACATCGTTATGTTCCATCTGCCTTGGTATCGCTGTTCCATTTCCTTAACGTCCTGGTGAATGCTCTGTCCCTGTTTGTCGCTAACAGCTCCAAGATTTTAACGAGAATTTTTCAAGTGTGAAAACAGGAAATGCACCTTCAAACTCATATTACAACCTAGATGGTGAAAGTGTTGTAACATATTTTGAACAATACTTTCGTAGTTTTCGAGTTCCCAAGAAATTTATCAATTACTTCTATAAATGAAATTCAGGCGTTTTTTTCGACATTAGTCATTGAGTTTTGAAAATCTTTCCTTTGCATAATGTTCTTATCTGCGGTCCAACAAAAATGCTTTCTTTTATCTTGGCTCAGATATGGCTGGGAATCTCTCACAAATATTTGAAACACCAACAGCTATCAATTAATATATATCCATCTCACTCACAAACAAAGCATGGAAATTTTGTATAATCCCCCTTGTTGTCCTAGTAGCATGCATCTTTAAGGTCACCACAAAGCGTCCTCTGATGTTCTCGGTAGTATATTTTCTTCAAAAGAAGTCCTAAATTGGCATATGTTTCTTTTAAATGTATCCAATGGGAACCGAGGCCAGTGCAATAAAACGCCTTTTAAATTACGCTTACTTAAGTCAATAAACAGGTGCCATTCTTCTTTTATATACGGCACATCTTCTAATTTTGAAACTAAGTCAGGAATATTGTTGCAATACAATGAGTAAAATATTGATTGATATTGAATTGATGTGACTTCGAAGGTGCAAATATTTAATCAAATCATTCAATTCGCTCTGGTTAAGCACTTCGGGCTTTCTGAAATCTGGTGTGAAATCTGAGTCATCTGGGTAGGAAATTGATTCATCTGATTCTGATGTTTGCTAGTTCTTTTGGGGCGCTAGGTATCGGTACATATGGTCCATGGAACTGATCGAATAGCAGACTCAAGATTAAGACACACAATGTGTTTCCTATTTTTTCTGTGATTCCAATTCTCTCGTCATACTATAGAAACACCAAAGCCTAAACATTTCTTCCTCTCTTTGTGCCAGTTCTTTAAGGCTTCAACGCAAACGGAACAAACAGTCCAGGCTTGTCCTGGCAGCCAATTTTTACACCAAGTATATATTTTTCACAAAAGAAGTTTGCCTTTGCTTTACTACGGCATAACTACCACAGATGTAACAAAAATTGTTTGGATTGTTTACACAATGTCTTCTTTCCAAATTTATACGTTCTAGAACACTAGAAATACGCAATAACGAAGTCAACAGCGGCGAACACATTAGCATGACGAACAATAAAACTAAACGCATTTAACAGTGCCTCCTGGCAACTAATTTTTGAGAAGCTTGGGAAGCGCGGAGTGGAGATAGGTTTGTTGAAGCTGATCTCTTCCTATTTGTGTGACCGTGGTGTGCTCGTCAACTATGAACGCGAGACCAAACTGGTAAAAATCAGTAGTGGAGTTCCCCAGGGATCGGTTCTGGGACGACTTCTCTGGAATACGATGACCTACTAAGTATGGACATGTCCAAAGATGTAACGCTGATTGGATTTGCGGATGACTTGGCAATGGTGATTATTGACAAACGGGAAGAGCTCGTCATGGAAAAGGCAAATATGGGTATGTTGATGGTGTCAAACTGGATGGAGAAGATTTCTCTTAGTCTGGCGCCGGAAAAAACTGAGGCTGTGCTACTGACTAAAAGGATAAAACTAAAACCAATTAGTTTCAACATTCTCGGAACAAATATTGTCCCAAGCCGAGCACTAAAATATCTGGGAGTGTGGTTAGACTGCAAGTTGACTTTCGCTGAGCATGTACCCTGGAAAAAGTGGAGAGAACGATATCGGCTCTTTCTCGTCTCATACCGAACATAGCAGGACCGAGAGAATCTAAAAGAAGAACACCGTCAAGCGTAGTGCAGTCGCAGTTACTCTACGCGTCTCCGGTGAGGCACCAGGCTACAAAAAGCAAAACCCTAAATAGAAAACTAAACAAAATACAAAGACTTGTGTCAATCAGGATAGTCAGCTCATATAGGACTACATCTGCCGAAGTGGTGGGAGTGATATCTGGTGTTCCACCCATCGACCTCTCAATCAGAGAGCGGACAAGCATCTACGACGGCCAGGAAGAAGTTCTTGCACGACAAGCTTTGATACTAGCTTGGCAGGACCACTGGAGAGCTAGCAGGAATGGACGTTGGACGTATAAAATTATCAGTGACATTAATAAATGGATAAATAGACCCTATGGCGAAACTGATTACTATCTAACTCAGGCACTTTCGGGACATGGTTGTTACAACTCGTTCCTTTATAAGAGGAATAGATGGAGTACGGAACCCTGTATGTACTGTGGACAGCTGGATGATGTGGAGCACACGTTATTTCTTTGCTCTAACTGGAATAGCGCACGAGAACGGTACCAGGAAGAGTCAGGTCCCCAATTTACCTGCGAAAATTTTGCCACAGACCTGATGAGTGGAGAAGTTACCTGGAAGAGATCCTACGCTGTCATTAGGAAAATAATTGCTACCAAGGAACAGGACATAAAGGGGAGAGCCTGACAAAGTTTAAAATTATGCCCGCTGCCACGCTGAAGTAATGCGAAAGCGGTTCCAGCGTGGAGCGGAAAATGGCAAAAACGGGGTTTTTTAGTCGGCAAAAATCCGACACAGCCCACGACCATCTAACACCGTATATATATATATATATATATATATATATATATATATATATATATATATATACAGTGTGTCCAAGATAAGGATGCACAGCATGGGGATCTCGGAAACTATAAGAGATACAGTGTCGGTTAAATTAGACAAAAGTTGCGCATTTTGATACCGAACAAGATCCCGTTTTACAAATTTGAAAATTCCAAGCCGTTCCGGAAATATCCGAGAAAAACCGAAATATTGCGATTTCGTTTTTATTATTTTTTAAAGCTATTTGAAAAGATATGAAAAAACGGAAAACACTTTTCCATTGGCACTTTTTAATCTCTCCAAATTGACGTTAACAAATTTTCATTACAGCGTTTCGATTCCATGGAACCACCATCAACTTTGATTTTTCTTATGGAACGGAAAAATAGTACACACAGTATTAGGTTGTGCTTTTCATTGCGAATTCAACGATGTACGATACAATACGGTTACTTATGTTTTTATCCAGAAAAATGGATTTTTAATACATTTCAGCATTTAAATGGAGTAGGCCATGACAAAATGACATCCAGTCAATTTCAATGACACATTAATGTTATTTGTCTTTGTTATCAGTCGATCATAAGTTTATTCCTTTAGTTATTGTTTTTGTATTTTTATTGTTGTTGTCTTTTTCTAATTTATTTTGTTCTACAATGGAGGGAGGTAATTTTACAAACGAAGAAAAATGTGATATGCTGTCTTGCTACATCTGATGCCAAAGAAATTGTGTGGAAGTCGAGCGTATGTATTCTAACAAATGCCCAGAGCGGAGACAACCTGACAAGAGTATTTTTCGGCGTTTGTTATTTAATCTGAAAGAATATGGATCATTTAAGAAGCCTGCATTATCCCGACAAAAACCTTCCAATGAAGAAAACCAATACATTGTTCTACAATCTGTTATCGAAAATCCACAAACTTCTACCAGAGAAATTGAAGACCAGAATGGGGTAGCTAAATCTACAGCTCAGTTTATTTTAAGGAAAAATGAATTTAAGCCTTACAAATTCAGAATATGTCAAGGATTAAAACCGGGTGACGACGAACGACGTAGACATTTTTGTGAGTGGTATACCAGGATGTGTGATGAGAGTTTTAATTTTCCATATAAAGTGATTTGGTCTGATGAAAGTATGGTGACCAATAACGGTATTTATAACAGGCGCAATACACACTATTGGTCGCAACAAAATCCACGTGTTAATAGACTATCCAGACATCAAGTTCGCTTTGGGTTTAATATTTGGTGTGGGATTTTTGGTAGCAAGATTATAGGCCCTATTTTCTATAATAATTCCTTAATTTCCGAGCGGTACCTTGACATCTTGAGGCACGATTTAGAAGATGCCTTAGATGATTTACCGCTAGGCGCTGTGCAAGGCTGCTGGTTCCAACAAGATGGTGCCCCAGCCCATAACTCCAGAGAAGTTCGCCAATATTTAACTGAACGGTTTGATGGAAAATACATTGGGACTTACAGTGAAACACCTTGGCCTCCAAGGTCCCCGGACTTAACTCCCTTGGACTTTTTCTTATGGGGCTACATAAAAAATGAGGTATTCAAAGAATGTTTTGACAACGAGGAACAATTACGTCAATCAGTACGAGCAGCGTTTAATAAAATTACTCCTGAAATGTTAAGTCGTGTTTTGGAGTCTACCGTGAGACGGGCGTACTTATGCCTAGAAAATGGAGGTCATTTATTCGAACATTTGTTATAGAATTTGTTTTTCATTAACTTGTTGGATTTAGTTGTTATGTTAAATGAACAGTTAGAGTTAGTAAATAAATAAACACATTAACTCGAACTTGTCAACCATTTTCTTTTGCCTTTCATCGTTC